CTGAGCGGGAGCCCCGACCAGACCGAGGCGCTCCAGGCGCGAGCGAGGAGTTTGCTCATCCACCAGTGCCGTCACGTGGCTGCCTGGTGTTTTGGCGTTTTGATTACATACGATACTGTGTATTTAAGACTGGTTTATGGGTGTTTATACTAATGCGTAAACCTGTAATTTAGAAGCTCGGTTATAAATCAACATCGCTGAAGGTCTTGTCCCTCGTGCCTTGAGATTGGTCTCCAGATTTAGAAGACAGGTTAGAGAGAAAAAAAATAAAGGAAGACAGTTTAGTTTTTCTCCGGTTATGAAGATAAAGGATCATGGGATGGGATGCGAGCGTGTCCCGCTCAGAGGTGTGGTGGCCAGGCAGAGGGATCCGCCGGTGTAAGCGAGCGGAGAGTTTCCATTTTGACTCTGCTCTTACGACAGCCGTAAGAGAGACTTGTGTTTACATGGCAAATCCCAGCCCGGAAAGAAAAGCGGTGCCATGGCTGCCGAGCCGATGCTCGCGGGAGGGTGGTGGCATCCCACTAGCGACGTTCTCTGCTTGTGCCAGGACGTGGGCTGCAAGGACCAGAGCCCTTTCCCGCTCGGCACTGCACGCGAGGAGGAGCAGCCTTCGTCCCCAAGAGCTCCTGGCACAGGCTGGGGCTGGCAGGAGAGCCAGGAGCCTCCTCCGGTGGCAGTGCCGAGCGGGATAGCACATTCCCACCGGTGGGTCATGGTCCTCTCCCGATACATCCTAACGATGACACCTCCGCATTCGTATTTTTACACATAAAATTCTTTTACAGCTTTAATAATAATTTCTGCACTTTCTCCCCTTCCCAGGCTGCCCTGGAGCCTGGCTGTGCCAGGGATGGTTTTGCATTACTGGTTTGATTCAATACAGCGTAGCGAGATGTGCTGTGAGTTATCGGGGCTGGTCACGTCAGTGCAAGTGCTCTTCCGCTGGATTTCTTATCCAACTGGGCTATGGCAGAGCCAGTTGTCCCTGTTGAGAAACCCCTTTTAGCTATGGTGGGCTGGAAGCTGCCTTGCCCTGAGCTGCCAGCCCGGGCAGACGAGAGCCACGCAGACTCCCCTGGCTCCGGGTTCACCTGCAGCCACCATGCAAACGTGAATTTGAACGTTGGAGATTTGTGTTGGGTGTTGCCCTGGTTTTGGCTGGGGTAGAGTTAATTTTCTTCACAGTAGCTGGTACGGGGCTGTGTTTTGGATTTGTGCTGGAAACAGTGTGGGTAACAAAGGGATGTTTTCGTTCCTGCTGAGCAGTGCTGACACAGAGTCAAGGCCTTTTCTGCCTCTC